CTGAACGATTTTGGAAAATAATCTAATTTTTAAGAAATTGGTGATTTTCTTTTGCCAATATTGCAATTGCGATTTAATATGCAATTGTTTTAAAGCTCTTTGTTCTATATTATTCAACAAAGACAAGCTTTTTTTGGTCGCGCCCCCCGTTAAACCTATAAAAAAAAAACTTGCAGGGAAAAAAAACCCTGCATCACTTGAAACATTGAAAAATAGCATAGAGAATAACTGTTATTATTATTATTCTATCTCTGTTATTTACTCTCTTATTACTACACTGGATTCGAGCGGCAAAATACAGTAGAAATATAATAATCAGTGACACTGTCTACACTAGATGCGGCGCAGTGTGACCATAGACTGTATAGGGCGCGACACGACAACCCGACATTAAACTGATGCCCTGTTCTATTTATGACGTACTGACACAAAGTTCAAATGATTTGCAACTGTCGCTTTGTCGCGTCCAGTGTAGAGCTGTTGTGCGACTTCATCTATGGCTTTTCTCTTTGCTTTCACAAACCGATCCATCTCCCATTTCTAAGTTACGTCCTTTGGCTGTTTACGGTTTTATTTATTTTATTTTTCTGCTGATGGCCCGCGCTTGACTTGAAGGAGCGCTGCTTAGATCAATCGGTGTATGACATCAAAGTACCGCGAGAGCTATAAGAGAGTGCGGACGTCTCCTTATGCTTTCTCTCGCCGTACTTTGATGTCATACACCGATCGATCTTCAAGTCGAATACACCTCTTTACTCTCACGTGTCACGTGACCGAGTGTAATCGCAGCCTCTGCGATTGAAAAATCGTGTTTTTTCATATCACGATATTATTGCAAATGCAATTAATCGTTCAGCCCTAGTGCCGTGCTTCACTCTGAAACTTGCAGTGCATCTATTAACTTAATTAAATAACAGCCTTTGTGATTTTGGTTTTATTTCAATTATTCAAACAGCCCTACTCTATCATTTGGTGCAGTGATTATCAGACTAATGTGCTGCTTTCACATTCTTCCGCAGGTTTCACAGCTGTACAGAAGAAGGACTACCTGTCTGTTTTCCAGCTCACAGAAACCGGAGACATCTTTTACCAAGCGCTGAAGGTGCACACGGATCAGACCGCAAGCAATAACGGTGCACCAGAACAATCTGTCAGTGTGCAACCTACAGTAGAAACTGGAGAGAGCGAGAACATGCAGTCCGACAATGACGAGCAATCTGTTCAGAGCGACTCTGAGACTGAGGGAAGGCGGGCGGCGCTTCGTCATTTGGAAGTAATTGACAATGTTGATAATGATGACTTAAATGCTTTGGATACAAATGAAAATATCAGGAAAGAACCATCAAGCCATTCGATTGGGAATAACCCAACTTGTCCCACCAGACCGCCCAACCCAAGCAAGGATCCAGATCTCCAAGCTGCCTGGAACAAATGGTTTAAGCCCATTTTCAAAAAGGCTGAGACCAAAAAGCGACACCATAAATTTCGACGGATCAGAACGGATCATTTAAAGGGCATGACGGGCAAAAAGCTGAATAAACCAAAGGAAGATAAATTTATGAGTCTGAGGAAAGACCTTCAAGAGGTCATGAGGAAGAAAGGGATGCTCTTGCATGGGGTCACTTACCTCCCTCACCTGAACATTACGCCGGTTCCCGATCCTGTAGATGCCGATGACTGGCCTGACGATGTGAGCCAGCGGTTGGCTGCGTCGTGGGAGGGCCAGTGGACATACTGGTGGGAGGAGAAGCTGGGTTTGAACCAGGACAAGAAAATCGCGGCTCTCCGTCGAAAGCGTCGGAGAGCGAAGCAGGCCAAATCTCACAGTCGCACCTCACTTTCTGGAAGCTTCACCTCGTCTGTGAGTTACCAAGAGAGTCTCTCTGGTTTGTCATCGGGGGAGAGTCAATGTCTGGGTTTGGATGACGAGACTTTGGAGAACTCAGACTCGCAAGCTACAGACATGGAGGAATGGAGAGCCAGACCTGAGATTCACAGAAAGAGCCCCATAATACTGAGACGGTTTTTAAATGAACAATCGACTGCAGAAAAAGCTTCCAGATCTCCTAGAAAATCTCCTCCAAGGCCTGATCAAAACCTTTTGACATCTCCGTCAAAATCTCAGTCTTCCATTCAGGTATGGATTCCTTAATGGAATTTTAAAGCCGATACTGATGTGATAAATGATCATTTATAGCTATTTGTGGTGATACATATAACTGATCATTTGACTTTTTGACTTTTGAAAAAAATACATTTAAGCAGCAATCAATTAAAATTATTTTCTTGAATGAGGGTGACTGTCCGATTTTATGCTGGTTTAATGAGAAATGAATGACATTAAACTAGCATAAATTGTAGTGTCCATTTGTTAAAAAATTTAGGGTCAGTAAGATTTTACTTTTTATTTTTAAAGTAATTAATGCTTTTATTCAGCAAGAATGCATTAAGATAATCAAATGTGTCAGTAAGGACATTTATAATGTTAGAGATTTTTTAGAAATAAGGCAGCACAACTGTTTTCAACATTGATAATCAGAAATGTTTCTTGAGCAGCAAATCAGCATATTAGAATGATTTCTGAAGGATCATGTGACACTGAAGACTGGAGTAATGATGCTGAAAATTCAGCTTCGCATCACAGGATTAAATGACATTTTACAATATATTAATATAGAAAATGGTTATTTAAAATGGTAATAATATTTCACAATATTACTGTTTTTACTGCATTTTTGATCAAATAAATGCAGCCTTGGTGAACAAAAGAGACTTCTTTCAAAAATCTTACCAACCCCCTTTAACTTTTGAGTATTTATGGTTATCCTGATAAATCGTTTTAACGGATCGCAAAACAATGGAATAACAGAAACATACAATGATCTTCACCAAAATGTGTCAAAACATCATAATTTCAAGTTTTTGGACCGTGTTTACTTTGTGTTTGAGCTTGTTTAATTTGGATCATATTTTGTGCCATTTTCATGAATAAGCAAAAACATGCCTGTGTGTGACTTTGTGATGTTTTTGCTTATTTCATCTTGACGTATAAACAAAATACTGTATTTATAATGTCATATGTGTACTCGCAGCAGATGATCGCAATTTTTTTAAAACCGTACTTTTGATACGTTGTTCATCTTTACTTTCAGGTTGAACAACCGACCTCTAGAACCCCTAGTGTTGCAGCAGGGATGGATTTGGGCCCTCCTGCTTTGCTCCCCTCCACACGGCCAACAACTGTCCAATCGAAAAAGCTCAAGGAGTTTTACCTTAGTTCCCTTCCCACGTCCCAAATATCGACTCTGGACTCTGCACCGGATGGTGAATATTCTTCACCTCGGGTTCGCCTTTCTTCTCCGACTCCTTCATCTCATCGTTCCTTGCATTCCCAGAGAGTTCCCCAATTCAGAAGCCTCTCTCAGGCCTCCCAGCCAAAGAAGAAGTCTCGGATGGGCTTCTAAAGATCCGCCTCCGAACAAGGAATGCTGCAAGGCAAGTGACCTAGTTTTTGTGTGGTGTCGAATGTTTGGGTACTGTACAGAGGCGCGGGATGTGTTTGAGCGAGAAACTCGAGCCAGTAGTGAGAGTGTGAGAGGAACTGCACAGATATTTGTGCGTTTGTAATGAATAACAAATGCTTACTGTTTGAACCAATTAGAGCGTGCTTGTGGTCTTTAGCATAGTTGATGTCCGCTTGCTTCTCTCACTTGATAGTGACTATAGAGGAAAACCGAGGCAAAAATTTGATTGTTATTTTAAGTTTATTACTTTGGCTTTCAAAAAAATCTTCAAATGCTTGCGGTGTGGTTTTTCTAGTGTTCTCCTTCAAAATGTCATCAGTATGTAGTGCATTGTGTGTAATGAAACTGATCCTCTGGTATATTTATGGCATGTTGCCCACCTGTTCCTACAAGGGAACAGAAAGATTGTTTCCAGCCTTTGACTGACTAGACATGCACTGGTTGTTGGTTTCTCATAAGAACGAGTTCCTGTTTTTGGGGAAACTGAAATCGCATCACACTGGGCAGAGTTGCATCATGCACTGGTTGTTTGTAAGTGTGTAAATCAGCTGATAACATCATGACGTTGTTGACGAAGGCTCTTGCGTGATGAAGCCGCTGCTTTGTCTTAATGTTGCTGTGTAAAATATCCTGCGGCACTGAGGCAATTTACAATATCTGCTGTCTGTTGGCCATTTTCTATGTGTGTGGGATAGTTGAGGCTCATAGGAGCACAGAACTGATTCAGGAAAACCTGAAGGCTCTTGCGTGATGAAGCCGCTGCTTTGTCTTAATGTTGCTGTGTAAAATATCCTGCGGCACTGAGGCAATTTACAATATCTGTTGGCCATTTTCTATGTGTGTGGGATAGTTGAGGCTCATAGGAGCACAGAACTGATTCAGGAAAACCAGACTAAGCAAAACAGGAGACTGAGTGAATTTCAAAATAGCTTTTTTTTTTAATTGTGAACGTTTTTTTTTTATATTACCATGACAAAAATAACAATAAATAAGTTCATATCTACAAGATGCTATACAGAACGTATATGCATTTTTTTTTTTTACATTATACAAATGTACATTTTTTTTATATTGAATAAGGTTTTTTAGGCTTTTTTGTTGCACATTTTCAACGTACAGTATTTGTCTTCATACATCGGCAAGTTGGTACGTTGGCAAGTAGGTTAACAACATCACACTCACATACACACATGAAAAATAAACAATCCACTGTTTTTCTGCGAACACCATGCGCACCACAGTAAATCTCTTGACTGTTTGACCTCAGAGAGGCGGCAGTTCTGCAGGCACGCAGCTTTCCCGCTGTCACACGCTTAATCATATTACAAAACTGTGCAAAGCACCAAAGTACAAGTCTCAAGTTGTTCTCTAACAGTCTAGTGTACCTTGAATATGTCATATTGAGTCGCCTGGAATGTTGACAAATCCGAACATGCAACTACTATATATATGCTACGGCTACATCTTTTTTGTTTTGTTTTTAGCTGCCAGTGTTTTGCAGCGCTAAATTATTTCACTTTTAGCTTAACACGAGTAATCAAGAGAGATGTTTACAGTATTTGGACTGGCTTTGTGTAAAGCCATAACAGAAGAGTTTTAAAATACAATTCTGATATTTTGGACTCGGTGGTGTCGTCGAACTCAGGCACAATGGCACCTCGCTGTATAGCTTTAGGTTTCCAGCCAGGAGAGGTCTGTGACATCATCTTGGAAGATGACAAGAAAGCCACATCTCCATTGGTGGCTGTGCTCCTTGGCAAGTGGTTTAGAGCATATTACTGTCTGCGGGCACGGGAGCAGAAGTTCGGGGGGAAGTAGGGTCCCTCAGCGTCACTGCTCAGACTCTCTTCCCCGGAGCTCAGGTCTTCGCTTGAATCCTCACTGTCATAAAAAAAACAACAGCAACAGTCAGATGCGCTCTCATTTATTTAATTATTTGAATCAAATTCATAAAATTATAGTAATATTAATATTTTGAATGGGCTTTTATGTTTATATTTTCTGTTTTAATTTCAGATTTGGGTTGTGTTAGTAATTTTATGTTGTTTTTTTATTAGTATTTAAAATATATATATTTTTTATTAGTTAACTTTAATTTTCATTTTGTACATAAACATTTTTGTTTATTTCTATTTAAGTAAAATTGTATTTTATTTCAGTTTGTCATTTTAGAACTTAAACCTGTTTTTGTAAATTTCTACTTGTTCATTTTTTTTCAGTTTTAGCCATTTTAGTCCTTAAACTTATTAGTAATCAATTTGTAAACTTAATTAGTAAAAGTACTTAAACTTCGTAGTAAACAGTTAGGAATTTTAACTTACTATTTCATTTTATATATATTGTTAAACATCTATTTCTGTTGATGTTAAATGATTTTTTATTTTAGTAATTCTAGTAATTAGTTTTTTTGTGTGCTGATATTAATGTTTAATCAAGTTTTTAATCTAATATTTATAATTTTTATTTCAGCATTATTTCAAATAAACTTTTTTTATAAACTACAAAATAGTTTATAAAATTATAAACTATTATAATTTTGTTTTATTTTTAGTAGTTTAGTTAGACTTATACATTTTGCCCATAGACATCCACTGTAAACATAATTTTTTTTTGTCCACAAACTAGGGCTGCACGATAAATCGCATGTGATAGTCATGCGCATCTCGTCAGTAAAGCTGGTTCTGTGATTTAGTAGTAAGTCTCCATCACGATCTTTCAGATGGAGCGGCATTTAATACACAGTCGTAGTTCGCGGACAAGCTACGTAATATCACGCTCATAATCAAATGCGATTATGAACGTGATATTGCGTAGCTTGTCAGTGAACTACGGCTCTGTGTATTAAATGCCGCTCCATCTGAAAGCACATGATGGAGATTTACTACTTATCACAGAACCGGCTTTACTGACGAGATGCGCATGACAATCACATGCGATTTATCATGCAGCCCTACCACAAACTAAAGTCTAAATTATTATCTGTGGTAATGAAGCTTGACTGAAATCATGTATGCGGTTCACCTGGAATATTACTCAGTCGTAATAAGGGGGGGGGGGACTGTCAAATGTCAGATCTTGTTTTGTACTTTGTCAAACTGACCCCACCTCGCACGCCCTTCTCTTACTCACTGGTGATGCAGCACAACCTGTGACCTGTTTGTAAATATTCACTACCCACATTCCACTGCTGCACCTAGTTTGGCGTGTATGCATATCTAAGCCATTAGCCATCTCAAAACAGTATGTCCTGTCTGGATTTTCAGCTTGTAATCAGCTGTGTTGGTGAGCCTCAGGAATGACTTATTGCTCCTTGCGAGAAAAACGCTCTCGGGTTGGTTGCTAGGACGTGACTAACTATTCGTAGTTGTCAAGGAACACTGTAAGGACACCTGATAGTGCAACACTGGGTGGGGCGTTCAGAAAGAAATATTGCATTATCCAATAAGTTTGAAGTTTTTCATTTTTTTTCAATTTATTGTCATCTTATATTTAACATTATTCCAATTACCAAAACACTATTTTTAATAGCTTTAAATTTAGTTTCATTTTGACTAGTACATTTGCCCCTTAGACATCCACTGCAAACATAACTGATTTTTGCTTGTTTTCACAAACTGAATGACGAGTCTAAATTATTTTCTGTGGTAATCAAAGCTTGACCAAAGCCATTTGTATGCGGTTAACCCCGAATATTCCTTTCCGTTCTGCCTCTATTGACTGTTTAGTACGAGTGTGACATCCTAACGCCTGTGTTTTTCCTCAGGTGAGCTGTGTTTACCTCTCGCTCTCGTCCCACGCGCCCTCTGGGATGGTTGGCAGCTCGGGGACGCTCCGGTAGCTGCTGTGCAGGTTCTGCGCCGTCCTCCGCGAGACGATCCACACCAGTTTCTTGTGGTCAGGTTTGGCACATTCTGGAGAGGAGTATTCCCTCATACATTGACCTACCAGACCTCGCCAGCGCGCTAGGTCAGCCTTGGAGATCTGCAAACAGACACGGCTGCATTAGACACCAGCTTACATAAGGACAGGGCAGAGAGCCAGCCTCATTTTGGACAGGAGTAAACCAATAGCCTGCTGGCAACAGGACTGTGTTAAGAGCTTTGGATTCTTCCTACTCCATAGATGTTTTAAGTGCTGCTGAAACGAAAGGTATATTTTTGTCTACAAATTGTCCGATTAAACTTCTTGACTTTGAACCAAACAGAGCAACCTGTGACATTTAACTTAATTTCTTCACTTTTAAAAAGTTTTTATTGATGCTCAGGGTGTTTAAAAAAGTTGACATTAATTTTTACCTTCAAGTGTGTTTGTATGCGCTGGGCGATTTCTAGCAGGTCCGCAGACTGTAAGGCCTCGATCTCAAGCATCAAGAGCGACAAAGCGAGCACCGAAGGCTAAAAAAAAGAGAGTTCATCAAAATGCAAACTTCTATGCAACTTGCTTCAAGAATCACTGTTTAATTTGTTCTTACTTTTGCTTTGGAGAAAACAATTCTGCATAGGCAGGCTTTCAGCTGGGCTTCAAGTTTGTCAAGATTCAGGATGTCTTTTCTGAAAAGGACAAAAAGAATTGGTGCATTAGAGAGATTTTGTTAGCCAAGCTGTTTGTAATTTAACAAGTCTAGTCAGAAGATAATCTCCTAGTTTCTGCCGTCACTGTGACCCATATACAGCAAAGTGCACTTGCCAGCTCTGTTTCTCAACCTTTACAAGTCAAAGTTTCCATTGTCGAGCCTGCATGTTAATAGAGTTTATCTGGCTCAGAGTCTGAAGTTGATAATGCCAGCCATTCTTACCTGTTGGACGTGTGCGAAAGTGCAATGGCGTGGTACAAATGCAGGAAGGTTAAGGCTGTGACGGCTTTTAACTGGAAGTTGAGCTTCTCTGAAATGATCTTCTCCATTCGGCTGAGGTCTGAGACGGTGAACTTGCACTGGCTGATGCGAATGAGCTCATGGCTGGACGAAACATTGCACTCCTCTTCAGTCACTCGGGCGGAGATATGAAGGCAACCGATGCTGATGCAGGCCAGATACCTGGGCTGAACCTTTAGGCAACACAAAAGCGATCAGTCATAACACGTTTTAATACGTTAATCAGATGGATTGACTTATAACTAACTGGTTACCTTCATCATAGCTATAAACCTGTCCAGCAGGTTAACGGCTAGTACAAAGGTCTGAGTGCTGTAACCGAAGAAACTGGTCAAGCTCCAGAGATCTTCCACTCGAGCATCTCGACATTTGGCTGAAACTCCATTACCGTTCTGAGTGGATGAGGAGAAATTAAGTAACAGATGCTTTAAGAGTAAAAGATTGTTTTGCATGCAACGTTACATCACAAAAAGTATTTTTTAAAGTATGCAATGCACAGAAATACAGTGCAAATTCCCGTAACTGTCATTTATGTTTTCAAATGAAGTTTGTAAATGTAATTTCACAGGAGTTTGTAAAACTAGTTTACCTCTTGTGTGGATTCAATCAAACTGAGTCCGGTTTCCTTCGGCAGATACTGAACCTCCTGGTCCAGATTGCTCTTCAGTTCCTTCATCAGTCTGAATGCCTCCATATTTTCGCTTTATTTGTGTTTCAAGTCGTCAAAACACCTTTAACGGGGCATAGAAAAGCAAAGTTAAGTAAATTCCGTTCACCCAGGGCAGTGGGTCAAGGTTTTGCCCAGCCCCCTCTGCTCAGCTGAGCCTCGGTGTCGGGTTTCGATGGTTAACGCCTTCCTACAGGACATCCAAACAAATAAGCCCGACCCATTCCGACTGAGATGGACAAATAAATGCGAAATCGTCCTTTTTAAATCGCTTTGAGCTAAATAACGAGGTTAAAACTGGATCGAAAGTGAACGAGTCCAGTTGATTCTTCAGCTGGAAAATACCTCGACTGGAGGGGGAGGGGTTTAAATCTTCTGTACAGTTTGTTTTCGACATTAAAATATATTTGTATATTACAGTATAATAAATCGGGAGCTGAAACGTTAAACTTATCTATCGGCTCGACTCAAGTTTATACGGAAATTGATTTCAAATTGCAAATGTAATGTTACTGGCTTAGAAAGTAAACATTAAAGACGACCAAAAATAACAAGGGATTCGGTCATTCCAGTAAAATAAATCTATAATTTGCGTTAGTGACATACACAAATGATCGATAAAATGTCATAAAATACCATTAAAGTCGAAAGGAAACATACAGATTACTTCAGTCAAATTCTAACGTATAAATACAAGCATAGCCAAAGATCAAGCCCATTTTCAGGAAAAAGAAAGAAATACGACCATAACATTTAAACTGTGACAATTCATCTACATAGACCATTTAAAAGGAAACTAATATTTTATAGAAATTTTAATAAAGGTACATTACCAGGGGTGTTAAAAGGGCATATTGTGTTTGTGTATCCGAGAACCTTTCGTCTGTTTTCTCTGCTTCTCTTTCCTTTTGTTGTTGTTGAATGTAGCTCCTCCCCCTGGGCCTGTCACGTAGGAAACGTAAGTCGCTCGGTTTAGATAGTTTTATGCGTTTTAGAACGGCTGCTGTTATCGTTTCTATATTTAGTTAAGCATATTTTATCATATCTTATCGTTATGTCATATCTGTTTTAAAATAGTTCGGCTATTAAAACATACAAGCGTAGTTTTAAAGCGTTCTGTGTGGTAAGCTATTGACAGTCTTGCGGACCAATAGGATCGCTCGAAGATGTAGCGTTCAAATAGTCCGCCCAAAATTCTCAGCGCTCATTGGCTGCTGGTTTGCAAGTAGACGTCGACGATTGGTTAGCGAACCGATAGCCCGCCCTTCTGTGAAGTTTTGTTGTGACAGGGTTGCTAGGGGTGTAGAAAATATAGTACAAATGTGTTCTTTTCTCAGATGCTGATTTCTTGATAACAGTTTCTGTGTTTTCCTCTTTTACACCATTCTTTTTCTATTCAATATTAAATGATACGCGTGTTGTCGACTTTTTAGCTGAATATTATAACAGATCTGATATGTAGTGAAGTCTGATTCGGTTGTTATATTAAACTGACGCGAGAGAGGCGAGAATATTCCTTTAGGTCAAGAGATCGCATCGAGTTTAATAAAATATCGGAATTTATGTAATACATTTTTAAAGCTTAATATCCGCGAAGGAAAAAAATCTAGATGTTAAAAGTATTATAATTAATTTATTCAGACATTTAATCCTTTTAATATCTCTTTTGTTCGATGTTTTATGTATGTCTGTGCCATCTCGAGACCCTGAATAGGATCGCATGTGAAAGTAGTCCCTCTATTTCGGTACGAGCTACGCTCCAAAATCCATTCGCCAGGTTAAGTAGTTCCGTTATAACAGTTACCGAATTTAAAAAAAATAATTCGTTGAAAATGAAACCTCCGACTAGACCTACATTTAAATGTACTTTCTAGTATTTTTAACCGTTTAAAATTTTTCTTGCTCTTTTTTTTGAATTCATAAGGAAATGTTCTCTGTGTAGCTGTCTGTGTGCGGTGAGGAGGTCGGCGGAAGGTGGTTCGTCCCTTCTCTGTCTCCTCGGAAGTAGACGTTCGTGTCTATATTCCGTTCATTTTATTTTTAAAATCAGTTCGGAAGGATCCCTTTTAGTTTTTAAAACCCCCATCAAATTTCACGGCAAACATGGAGGCGAAGCTGGACGCTTAAAAAGATGACGGAATCCGATCTGCTGCTTTATTTTACCTCAGTTTAATGGACCAGATGATCTGCGTTTTCCACAACCTTGCAGGGGAGGTAAGAATCCCCTTTTATGGACATATTTAACCATTTAGCCTCATTAAACCAGCGGCACTGGACATTAATATACACATAAAATACTATTTTTGTCTTTTCGGTGTAGCTAGGTGTGTGGTATTGCGTGTATATTGATCTGTTGCTGTGTAGCTAACGTTAGTTTGCTAACACGTACTAAATGTAAACCGCGTCAACGCTATCAACATTTCATATTAAGACGGTAATGTGGGGTTTAGTGTTTAATGTCATTGTTTACACTAAACAATACTGGTGCTATTCTTTTATACACCATATTGCATCTATAGCATGAATAGGATGATGAATCAGTTCTCGTTCTTAATTAAAATAACATCAGAGGTGATTTATCAATATTTTGTTTTTTTTTAACGTAAAGTATTTTTGATTTTGAGTTTGTTGAATTAAAATAATGAAATTAAAATTATATTTGAATCATAACTAGTATCGATAGGAATGTCAATGTATCATATAATACAATAATGTTTGTATTTATATTATAACATTACTGTTTTTACTATTATAAATATATATATATAGTTATATTTAAGTTAAATTATATATAGTAAATATTTTATGTATGTTGTAGTTGGTACATATATAATATATTTTTTGAAGCAGGTTGGACAACATAATTATTTAACCGTTTACTTATTTAACCAAGAAAAATAAAGAACTGATGAAAAATAGACTTAATCTAATTCCCAAGGCAGCTCAGACATCCCTTGTGATGCATGGCATTATATTTGATCTATTTTGAGATGTTCCGTGTGTTCTGCGCTCAGGTAGCTGCATCCAGTGGGGAGGTAGGCTTTTCCAGGGTTCGTGATGAAGTTCACCCTGCCCCTGGAAAGCCGGAAGCTGTCATCTCTTCTAGAGAAGGCAGTTTCTAGGGAAGCCACACTATGGAAGGCTTGCGTGCCAAAGAAACCTACCAACCAGGTGAGTCTGTCAGCTGATGGCTCTGGTTTGTTTGGTTTACATTGTGGGAGACAGATAGCTATGCAGATAAATTAAGGTAGTTTCTGTGTAAGTCCAATGTGCATATAAGAATAGTTATGTTGCAATATACTGGCATCATTATTACGTGCTTTAAAGGGTTAGTTCACCCAAAAATGAAAATTGGCTTGTGTTTTACTCGCCCTCGAAGTATCCTAGGTGTATATGACTTTCTTCTTTCAGACGAATCCAGTCGGAGTTACGTTAAAAATTGTCCTGGCTATTCCAAGCTCCATCATTGCAGTCAGTGGGTGTTGCAGTTGAACAGTCCTCAAGTCGTCAAATAAAGTGTGCGCATTCATAATAAACGTGCCTCACACGGATCCGGGGGGTGAATAAAGGCCTTCTGTAGTGAAGCCATATGTTTTTTCTAAGAAAAATATCAATATTTCAAACGTAATAAACGCTTTTCTCTCACTTCCGTTATCTGTCATACGTGGAAGCGTAGACGGAAGGTGTTCCGGCGGAAGGTGTATGACGTATGTGCAGCGCGCGCGCCTCTGAGATATGCTAGTCTCACGAGTTTGTTTATAGGAGCAAAGGAAGCAAAGTTTCCTTTCTTTAGCAAAGGAAAACCAGTCTCCTCTTGGCTTATATTGAAATCCTCCGACATTTGTCTTTGCAAATCTTCGGTTTGTACTTCTAATTCGTGACCGGGGTTTTGTTTTGTTGTATCTCCGCATTCGTCACTTATCACGCAACGCCGACGTGCTACGTCATCTGCCAGAACGGCTTCCGCGTATGACAGTTGGCGGAAGTGATATAAAAGTGTTTATTACGTTTGAAATATGGATATTTTTCTTACAAAAATGCATGGATTCACTACAGAAGGCCTTTATTCACCCCCCGGAGCCGTGTGAAGCACGTTTATTATGAATGTGCGCACTTTTTGACGACTTGTGGACTGTTCAACTGCAACACCAAAAACACAAGTCAATTTTCAGTTTTGGGTGAACTAACCCTTTAATTTGGGTCTCTTACGATGCTGCAGAATGTGTGTGATTTGCTGCATGTAAATCTGTAATTTGATAAACAGTGAGACACTGGGATTAGTACAATTTTATGATGTTGTGTTATCTCTAGATGTAGTTGTCTGTGTATTATGACTATTTATGGTGCAGTTGTGTTTGTAACACACACATATGTGAAACTGTGTCAGAGGTCTGCTATCCAAGTCTATCCTGACGGGAACCGGGCTGTTTTTTTGTAGGTCATCAATGCTATTTTAGTATATTTGAGATACTCTTATAGTTTTGTGTAAATTAGTTTTACATTTTTTTTTGTGTTTATTAGATTTTTATTTTTATTTCATGTTTCAATTTAATTTAATAAAAATGACAAATACACCAAAAATTAATAAAACTTAGTTTTTATTTTTAAATATTCTATGTAATTTTTGTTAATTTTATTTTAGTTTTAGTAAGTTTAGTATATCATGTTGAACTAAATGACAATGAAAAAAAAAGTAGAAGTAAAATAATATGGTTTAATTTGGGGTAGTAGTTAATGATAAAATGCATTATTATTATTATTATTATTATTAATGTCTGTGCATCTGAGTCTGATCGAATAGACAATAATAATAATAATAAGGGGTTCGATTTGGGTAATTCCAGTTTAGATTAGTGCATATGCAAACCTGTATGTTATGTATCTAATTAAATGCATTTTTTCTTCTTCAGGATACAGATATTTCCCCTGAAAAGCGTGATGAGGCCGTCCGGTGGTTGAGGGCTGTTCATTCCCAGCTGAAGCTCTATCCAGAGACCCTCTGCCTGGCCATCGGCATCCTGGATCGCTTCCTCTCTGCCGTTAAGGTAATGTTTAAAAACATCTCTGACCGGTCAAGGTCTTCTGCCCCAGTCAATGATTGTGGGCTTATGGCGTTTTCCATTATCCAGCTGTCCATAACAGCTTTTAGCCGTGTGTTGGCTGGCTTAATTGCAGCCCATGATAGGTACTTCACATAATAACACCTATTTTTAAAAACAATTATAATAATACTCTCTCCTTCTTTTCTGTGTTTCACCTCTGTTCAAGCCTGTGTACTAGTTCAGCTTATACATGGCATGATAAATTGTATATGATGTAATTTTATATAAGGTTATAAATGTATGCATTTATATTTAGGATTTTGTGCATTATAATGCCTGCATTTAAGTTTGTGGAGGTTATTCAGTATACTATTTATGCATTTATATGTTTGTGCATGTTATGCATCGTAATTTATGCATTATAATTCATGCATTTAAATTGTGGATATTATGCATTATAATTTTTGCATTCAAGTTTGCGCATGTTATGCATTGTAATTTATGCATTTAAATGTATGCATGTTATGCATTTAAATGTATGCGTGTTGCATAATAATTAAAGTTATTATTTTTTGTATAATTAGCATAAGTGCTTTTGAGATGCAGTGAACATTATTTTACTCTATTATAGAACTTTGACTGTTATGTAATGGTAAGCGTTACAGAAAGTTAGGTCACTATTTAGCTGAGCTGTTTTATTATACAACATTGGATGTTTTTTGCTCTTTGCCATGTTC